CGGGAGTTAAAGGGTTATTTCATACAAGTTGTAAAAGAGAAAAAAATTATTCTAAGCTATATGACTAGAGGTAAGTGAGAAAATAATTTGGGTGAAATGGCCCTTTACAGGAGGCCAGTTTAGAGTATTCAACCAGTATTCGACTGGACATTTCGGCATGGACATAAAATATTAGTCCTAATACGTGCGTGTGTGTATGTATGTGTGTGTACACAGTGTGATTTATTCTGAGGCCGGGTCTGCCTCCAGCTGTCCCAACAGGGTCCCGATGACTTTACCAGCCATAGACCTCCATCACAGAGAGACCGGGGGAAGAGAGAGATGGAGAGATTTATAGGGGGAAATATGGCTGGGGGAAAAGTCAACATCATTTTCAATCTGCTAATTCTATTCAATTTTCTTGCCCTTTCCTTCAGGATACAGATTTTCTTTTTCACTGAGCAGTCGCATGCCCTCGTGCGTTGTGCATACATCTGTTACGATACCACTGCTGAATCCAGACATTGTCATCTTTAGCTGCTTTCTTTTTGGTTTTTTTTTTTTTTTTTTTACAGAAATAAAAGGATTTCTGGATGTTTGTATGCTTTGAGGTCACAGGGTTTGGATTATTCACTGGAATAAGGGGCACTAAAATTTCCAGTATTACACATCTGTGTCACACTAAACATATCTCTGCATGTGCCATATTGAAATGCAACTCAACAACACCAGTGAATGCAAATGAGAATTTACTTTAACACGAGATGCCTGGTTAAATAAATAAATGTTCTCCTCCCTTCCAGGTCCTGCTGAGGTTCCCATGATGTCCCCAAATGGGTCTATCCCCCCCATCCACGTACCCCCAGGATACATCTCGCAGGTTAGCTTGTGCTTTAACTCGGTCTGATATATTCACATATGTGTTTTTAATGTTTGTTGTGTGAGTTTCAGTCAAAATAATAGTCAGACGTTGAGGGAAGTCGCTGCAGTTTACTAGTCAGTGGTTTAAATTTGTTTTAACACTCTTCTTTCACATCTTATTTGATGCAATAAAATATTTTTTTTGTCTTGGTATCAAGTAAGTATTTAGTGTTAACACCTGCCACAGTGTTTCTAAGGCAAATGTATTCACTATTAAGTGTCAGTTCATTGGTGCATGTTGAGCAACCATGCCTTCTGGTTTCTGTCTGAAATGCAGTAAGGAAACAGAAATCAAATTATGTATTTACAGCCAAAAACAATGATTGCATTGCAGTGATGTTTGCTCAACATGTGAGATTTGAAGCAGACCTTTCAGATATGTTAATATGATGGATGTCATGCTGTTCGTGAAGAGCTTCTGCACACAGAAAGCTTGCACCAGGGAATACACCTACCTGACTGCTGCTAGAAAGAGGAGTAACTAGGGCGGGCTGCCCCTCCAACAGAACACTGAGCAGG